CTGCCACTTATTTGGATTACACTGCCATAACTAGATAGGAGCAGCAAGAAGAGAATAGCACTGTGAAGTGAATGCTAGCAGATAAAGTATCTGCTGGCTTCTTTTTGTAGGCAGAAAATGTTTGCCAAACAAGCTCTATTGATAATGGCTTTTGGAGCACTCTTAAAATGAAGTACACAGTGAGTGTATCTACACATGTTGCTATGGCGCTGTTGTTACTGTGCCATATTTTAGTACTTTTGCAAGTACTAAAAAACGGTGCAGTAACAGCCCGTAGTGCCCTGTGCAGTTATTTTTAGGCACTGTATCGCTGTGGTGACGTGCTATAACAGGGGAGTGCATCACTATGGCGACAGAGACAGCGTCCATGGACGTTAGTTTTGCCCATAGACACTGTCGCCATAGTGTGTTGCTACGGTGATGTAGCATCACGTGTAGAGCCACCCAGTATGCTGAATCATAGCCACCATTCGGTCTCTTGAAAATAATGGAGCTTCTTTATTCTTCATTTTATTAGGTCTGAGATGACCCATTGCATACACTACAGAATAAAAAACAAACCTTAACTCCTAGCTAGCATTCATTTGAAGTCACTTTGAAATTCTATTTATGCAAGGCCAGGTACAGACATTATATTTTCACCTGTATAAGTGATTGGAAACTTGTTAATACCCAAAACATAACAGACTCTTTAAAAAATGGTGGAACCTGGTCTAAGATATGCCCCCTGCCAACTCTCAAAGGGCAAACATGTGCTGTGTTCGCTACCTATCCAAACTACACCACTTACAGAAAACTCTGCAACTTAGATTGATTTCACCTTGGGCTTTTTGATGTCTGTACCTAGCCTAAGAGAACAGAGACCATCTTCCCAGCTTGCTTTTCAGCTATTGAGCAGTCTTAGCATTTTGAAAGGTCCTGATTCATCTCTCACACCAGTTTGGCCAGTCAATGTGGAAAGGGATAGATAGCATAAAGATGAGATTCAGAACTGGACTTCATGGTGTATAGAAAAAACAGGGAGCCCAGTGGGGTTAAAACTGATCGGAAAAGCCTATTTAAGCATATGCTTTTCAAGTGCATTTGTAAAAGCTAGTTGAGAGGAGGCCAAGCTAAGTAATATGTTATGGGTTTTTTAAGGCTTAAAAACTTAAAAGGCATGGTGTGAAAATGTTGTAACTGGAGGAAGTGAATGGGTGTGGAAGTTCTTTATGTGCCTGCTGAAGCAGGAGGAAAGGTGCTGACAATAGGATTTCTTAGCAATGACATTTTATTTCACTTTCCTTTAAATGTCACTGTGCAGTCATCAATAAAGGGCATAGCCTTGTAGGAGTGGCTCTCATTCTCCTGTCACAGCTTCTTTGAGTTCATTGGAGTTATGCCTAATTTATGTAGGTGTGAGACATGTCAAGAGAAAATCTGAATGAACTCTCCTGGGTAAACCGATAATGAACCCAAAGAGGAGGATAGTTGCTAAAGGAGCTGTAATACTGTGTTCTTTGCCTGGTTCCAATTTTCAGAATTGAGCAAAGTTGGATTCAGGGGACAAAGATCTTGAATGTCTCCATTACTGTTCTTCCCACAAAGCAAAACAGCATATCCCAAAAGATTTTAAAAAATATCTTGTTACTTCTTTATAGGCTTGTTAGGAACACATTGCCAGAAGCAGGACCTGGCATCTCACACCTCCAGTGCATTGATGAGGACCATAGTGAGGGCCTCCATAGTCCTGGACCACTCACTCCTGCAGGGCTGTGGAAAATCCTCTTGTGTATGACAGGATACATACTGGAAATAGAGAATGAGGGAGAGGGGACCCCTATTATCTAGATCTAATCGTAGGAGTCTTGGGAAGGAGTGGGGGACCTTGACTTCCATTGATCTTAATGGTTTAAATAATCTAACAAGTAAACATCTAATACCTATACCCATCTGTAGTGAGTTCAGGGATTTACTCACTCAAACACCCAGTCTTTTAGGTTTGCTTATCCTCTTTTCCTAATGTCATTATTCCCCTGAAGCAAACTCCATCCTGGCAAGAGTCAGCTTAAGCAACTCAGTCCCTAAACCAAATATTTACATCACGTGGGATCTTCTCCCAAACCAGAGTCCTCAGGCGCTGTTCTGCCATGAGTTGCCCACTCTCTCCCTCATCCCTCTGGTCCCTTCAGCCACAAGAAGGGCTCACTTACAGTCTGACTCTCTGCTACGCTCATGGTCTTCTAGGAAAGAGGCACTCCTGGCATGATCCTCAGGTTCCTCTGTAAACTGACCCATCAGCTTTTTCTCTCACTACTCTCATTTGCAGCTCAGTCTCTCCCTGGCTGACCCTAGCATTGTTCCCTGGGAGCCTTAACTTCCTAAGGGCCAGCTAATTATTCCCTACAGGTGGCCCAGTACTCATAGTAAGTCTGCAGTCATCACCTACCTGCTGCAGCTAAGACAGTTAAGTGCCTAAGAAGGGTAAGTCAAAAAATCTACATGCTGAATGGCCAGCCATAGAGCTAGCTAATAGGAAACACCAAGCACTGTTGTGTTTTTAACTTCAGTGCCTGACTCTGGCCTAGAGGTAGACACCTCCATCTGGACTCTAGAGCCGGAAGTCCCCTCTTGTAGGCTTCTGTCTCAGACGGCCGGAGCCGACTTGAGGAGGATCGCTGATTACTCAGCCGTCAGGCGGGCTGGTGGATGGAGAGGCGGGACAAAGCGTATCGGTTGCAAAATAACTTTTACTTTAACTTTACTTACACCGCTGGTGGTCACGACGCAGGTGGTAAGGTTGCTTGCGTAGTTACAGGTAACGAGTTGCTTGCATAGTTACAGGTAACTGGCAAGAACCGGCGAGTTTGTAGACAAAAACGAGCATGCAGGATGAAGGATATGTCGGGAACAGATGGTGATGGGGAGATGTTGGAGGATGGCCAGTCCACCAGCTTTTCTCCGCCACGTGGCAAAGTTCTCCGTACTCTACCACGTACTCAGAGCTCTCCGACTTGGGCGGAAGCTGCACGGATTTTTATACGTTTAGAGTAACCAATAACAGACTGCCAGGTGGGAATAGCTAATGAGGCAGAACGTACCAAATTTGAAAGTAACTGCGGTTATTCAGGACAGTTCTATTGTGACAGGGGCACTCAACTCATTTGGTTATGACAGCTTCTACAAGTATGATTTGGGCAGAAAAAAGTGAGTTGTATTTAGAATCCCCTCAACCTGAGGAGGGCATAGCACCCAGGACTGCCACCTTTGGACAATTGATCTAAACACTGCAGTACAGTGTAAATGTGGGTAGGCAACAGGTTTGCCACCTGCTGGTGTCTGGTATTGAGTGAAAGCAGTCACATCTGCTGCGTTTTGTGCTGTATCTGGCACTGTCAGAGCGTGTTAGGTGTCCCTTAAGTTAACATGCTGGATAGAGCCCCTCTGAGGACTTCGGCACTGGTCTTTCTAGTTGCTGGATCCCACTGGGGCTTATGTGGGAGATAAGTGCCAATCTGCTCAAATCAAGGAGGTCCTGGTCATGAAAAGAAGGGAGAACTGCAGGTACCTAGGGAGCTTTCAGGTCAAAAAGAGATGCCTCCAGTTTAAGTACCTTCAGGATTAAGTGGTGGCTACGCTGAGTATTTTGTTTCAGACTTGGGCACCTAATTTCTTTGGAGCCAGAACTGTGAAGCACCTACCACACACAAGCACTATAGAAATCCTTTAAGAAAAGACTTGCCACTTTAAATTGTGCATTTGATATCTATATTTGCATCTTTTAAATTTATTTACTAAATAAAACAGTACGCTGATCTTTTGATTGCTTCATTTGATGAAGTTTTAGGCTTCTAGAATGTATTTTCCCCCTTTAGCAATAATGTACAAACTGTTCCTTTCTGTACCTTTGAGAGAAAAGCTACTTTTAGAATGAACAGTTACCAGAAGCAACTGAATGTTGGTATCCAAGGTATCCTAGCTGTTTTCTATATCTGGAACAGAAACTGATTGTGCGGTATCCCAGATACCACTGCATTGTAACTTTCTCTTTAATGGTAAGCCTTGTCTTTTTTAACATATGACTTGTGTTCCCAGATATTGCACTGTCAACTGATACACAATGTGGCTAAAACTAATATCCCAATGTTTCCTCCAAAGCCTTTTCCATTTTCTGGAGAGGCTTACCCCATGCTCTTCATGATGGTCACAGCCAGCATAATTTTTTTTGTATCTAGGGTCTGTTTTCTTCATTATTTGTATTGACAAATTCTTGTGATCTATAAGAAACATAATGGGGGACTGTGTGCTATACCTTCCTCTCATCCTAAGTTTAAATAGGGACTTGCCATACCAAAAGGCAGTTGAATACTCATTTTGGAACCCTCTCTATGCTTTCATACTTCATATACTAGGGAGTGCACAGAAAAAAGTAGTCATTTTTTGTATTAATGTGATTGTTTTTCCATTTTAGCATTTAGATACTTATACCTTCCTCAGAGTCAACCTAAATATATTTCAAGATGGAGTGGAAGAGAAGAACTGTGCTCTATTCTTGGGTAGAAAAAAATCACAGTCATTTAATGGCATCAGCCTAACATCGCTTCCAGCTCTGATCTTTGCCTGCCTTTGAGTTTTAGGATGCTATATTAGATTAGCTCTCTCATTGTACTAAGTGTACTCATTGTAGAGAGAAATTAGCTCTCTACAAGCCAGCCATTTCTCTGGCATTTGAGCCCCCTCCCATAATGTATTAAGGGACCTAACTAGCATTTGTAAAGTGGTTCTTTCCCTTTATGGCCATATGTGAAGTCTACTGTCCTCTCTGCTTTTGCACTCTATATTCTACCACTTATTGTGTGGTTACAAATAATTTTGCACAAGTACCTTCTAAAGCAATCTCAGCATTCATTTAGTAAATTGAGCACTGGTTTAGTTGAAGGTCTAGAATATTTCCTCTCTCTTGTCTTAGGCCTGACTTTTCAATAGGAAAAACTAGTTTAATAACCAGATTACCGCAAATACACTGTATGAAATCACTTTAATGCTGCTCAGTGAAAGTCACTGTTATACTCTGGGGAGCCAACCCCTTTCATCCATACATTCTAGTATAAGTTTTATTTTACAATACAAAGTATAGGAACTTGTTTTTACCATATGGTACTAGACAAAACTTTTAGTTGCATCCAAATTTATATTACAAACTTAGGAAATTTAGGCAGAGTAGAAAGATCTAAGAAGACAAGAATTCCAGAGAATAAAATGTACCAAATTGATTTATTACAAGAATTCAGGAAGGGCTTGAATGGCTTGGGGTCTTAAAGGCTGCCATTCACGTATAGTTAACTGGTATGAATTTGGCTCAGGTTAATTGTGACTGAAAACTTACTGTTTATGATGCTTCAGAAAAGGATCTCTGAAGAGAGCCTATGTAGCAAAAACTATCTTCACAACTGGCAACCTTGTTGGCATGCTGAGACTGAGTAGACAAGAAAGCAGTCTCCTCTCCCTGACTAGAGGTGGTCTCTGCAGATATTTAAGACATGTTGGCAAGCTATAGGGAAATTAGTTACTATTCTGGGAACAATGAAGTATCTTCAGTTTTCACTTTTGGCACTTTTCACAAGCACTAAAGCTCCTAAAGATTCTTTCAGAAATACCTCATTATCTGCCAAATGGGCCTAGTGTTGGGGCGGGGAGTAAAATTATGTAAAAAACCTTTGCCAAGTTAATTTTAATGCATTTATAAATATTTCATTTCACTACATAACTGGGCTATCACAACTTGATTAAAACATCATTCCTAGTAGATCCTTAAGTTAGGACCTGTCTCTCTAAAGACTCCCTTGCAACAGCAGCCAGCAACCTTTAACAAACTGCAGGCTGGACCAACCTGGCTTTGGTTCTCAACCTGCCCCACACCACTCAAGCTGCAGCACAACTCTCCACCAGTAAGAAGCTGTGCCCACACCACGGCCAGGAGGAAGTGGGAGGCTACAGGAAGTGGTAGTGGCTGACGTGCAGCTTCCAGCTGCCCAGCCCTAGCACAACTCCTCGCTGCCAGGCACAGGCCAAGATCCATGGGCCAGATCCAGCCCGCAGGCCAAATGTTACTGATTCCTGCTTTACAACACTGGATGCAACAAGTAAAGCATTGTAAGAATTGAGGTCAGACAATAATCAACATGTGTTAATACTCCATTCAAATCATTTGATTCACATAATTAACAAATGCAGCACTATAAAGTTAAAACTGTACCCCCAACAAGGTGAAACAGTGCAAATACCTCTATTTAAACAAGAACATTCCACATATACAAATATATACAGCACAAGTGCACTGTTTGCTTTGCAGTATAAATAGGTTTGATGAAACTAAATCTGTGACGATACTACTGACCAACAGTATCAAACAATACGTATTTACTAAGGAATACAATAATACTAAAAGATCAGATTATCACTATCTGATACGGCTGTGCAGTGTATTATAAGATTGTCCTGGATGGGTATTTAAAACTTTTAAGCCAAATATTAGTGAAAAATGTTAATGTCACAAAAGTCAGTTTAGATTCTGATCCTTCCAGTTATTTAGTAATCAACCACAGGCTCTACAAGTTGTACCTTTTAGCTGCCTGTACATTGGTTCAGTTTGTTTCCTTCCTCTTAACTGACTAGCACCAAAACTCAATTGTCTGCTAATGATGCGGCTATCTCTAATCCATGTAATACTATACAGAGGTTGTGTCTACAGTTCATTAATTTGCTTTAGGTAATGCGCATTAAATTTAGTACCTCCACTGTGAGGTACTAGAGAAAGGCACATTAGCCTATTTTAATGCGCATTAGCTAAAGAGCACAGGTTTTCTGTGATGCTTTAATGTGCATTACAATAGGCTAATCTGCATTAAAGCACACGTGTAGATGCACCCAGAGAGAAAAAATAATGCTTCTAATTTAATACACAATAAAAATAAAATAAAAAGGGAATAAATGATAACTAATTCTCAATTAAAGTAATTATCCTGGAATTGGGTTATTTGCATTTTGGTGCTGTAAAATAATGTTATGCCAAAAAGTCTTTTAGGAATTCCATTATAGTTTGACAGACATGTAGAACTTAATTTGATCTTCCGCACAATTACACGAACCAAACAGGAACACTGTGCCATTAACCTCCTCGAGTGCTATAGTTTCCATCTCCTTAAAGCAAGGGCTGTGCTGCAACCGTAACAAATAGTCGTCGCAAAGGCAAAAATCTACAGAAGAAGAAAAAATGAGTTGCTCATGAGAAAACTATTACTGCAGCATTCTTCTTTTGTTCCATACTCTGAACACTTATTACTACACAGAGACTTTGGGATTTCCATAATTAGCCATAAAGTAAGGGAGGGTGATTTATGAACTCCTGCCCATTGAAAACCCCTACACTCCTGTTGTTCTGAAACTTGTTGGCTTCAAATGAAATTTTGCGGCCCTCTGTAATATGGAATAAGTCTCTCCCTCTGGTCCTGGCAAAACCCTGCTTTAAATACACGTTTACACCATTCATAAGTTTCCCCTTTTCAAAGGTGAATATAGTAATTGAGCTGTTGTTTTTATTAGTATATTTTTAGGTTTAATTTCAAATGAATGAGTCTGCAGAAGCAAACAAACAAAGGGGAGGCTTATCTTTAAAACTACTGTATTAGCAATTTTGCTATCCTCTTAAGGAAATGGAGGGAAAATTTCATGGGTATGGGGGCATAGGGTTCTGCTATTGGAACAAGTTGCAGAGGAATGTCATAAAACTTCTGCACTTGGACTCTTTAAATTGAGGCTAGGTATCTTTCTGAAAGAGGTGCTTTAACAAAGCTACCTTGCCTGCCTGGTTGAGATTCATGGTCTATACCAGGAGTTGTCTTGAAAGCAGGTGTTCAGCAGCCTGAGTTCAGGGTTTTCTTGGTTAATGGTAGCAAAAATTATCACTTATTCCATCTTAACATCAATTTAGTTAAGACATTTTTTAAGATTAATTTGGAAGTTAGACCTTCTCAGTTGTACCTTGTTGCTGGACCCAAGAAAGAAAGCTATAAGAAAAAGGCTTCACTTCCTACATCCCAGCCTGTCTGTGAGGACCCTCAAGACTGGAGCATATTTCCCATAGCCCAATGTGGAGCTTAATGAGACTCCCCACCATGCTGCTATGGACCAGCAAGACTGGGAAATAGAAAATGAGGGAAAGCAAAACTTTCTGTGCATTCAAGTGATACATCTGCACATTACAGCAGGGATTTGGGTCCTGCACTGGATTTCAATGAGGCTAAGATAAAACTCGGGGAGCATCTTCTTGGTATAAAGTGTGGTTACTTGAGCTACCGTCTCTATCCCTGTATCATACTGGAAAAGCTAGAATCAGATACAACTGGGAGGCTTTCTGGATTTTGAAATTCACAACTCTGCCTAGTTCCAATGGAGTCTGGTAATTCAAACTGAAAGCTTATCTTCTATCCTACGCTTTCAGAGAGGATGGACTGAATGCTGGAACAGTTTGCTCTGTTCAAAATAGGAGGATATTTCTTACCACCCAAATAGGATGAGTAGCTTTTTTCACTGTATTTTAATGTTGTGGGCAGGCACTTAAAGTTTTTAGTGACTTTAAATAAATGTACATAACCCCATGCTCTGAACATGCTTCCAGAAGGTGCAAAAATTAGACCACTATCTCAGTGTGCTAAACCTATTGAAACAGGCCTATAGAAAAGGCAGTATTGATTTGAGGAAAAGGGAGGGGGGGGGAGGATACTTGAGCCTTCAACCTTGATCCTAGTAACTGGTATCCCTTTCATAATGTCTCTGGATCTAAAATCATAAAACACCGCCACCATGCCCCCCACCCCCATTCCCCTTCCTCCCTTCCCGTCCCTGCTGGCTTTTCTCAGGGCCCAGCAGCTCTGTGTGCCCCCACATCCAGCCCTGACCCCGATTCTCATCCAATCGAGGGGAAACAGGCTGGTGCTCTGCTGCGCCATCTCCTGTCTGAACGTTTTTGGAGCACTCTGATTGTTTCAGTCAGCCAAACAGAGTGCAAATAAAGCGTTATGGACAGACAGACAAACTAAAGCTTTTATAATATTAGAATACTCACAGAGGCAGCTATGCTTATGTTATATTCATGATCATCTAAAAGCTTTTCCTGGGTAGAGTTGAATCTACGTGGGAAATTATGTAGAGATGTTGTTGCTGCTTGTAATAAAAAGGCTCCAAAGTAAAAGACAAAAGTAGCTCCATGGAAAAGGAAATCCTGAAAAGAAAGTAATGAAATTAGTCTGCTGTAACTGACCTAATTTATTTAACTTCAGGGGGGGAAAAAGTGAAATACTCAGATAAATTAAATAAAATTATTCTGAGATTAACTATGACTAACACAAGGAATGGTAGGTAATATATTGATTTTCCTAGTGCTAAAAAATTGCATCGCAACATATAATTCATTTGTGTATTAAATTCCTGAAAAGGGATTTAGGCAGAACTTAGGTCCCTATGTGCAAAATTGCAATCCTTAAAACCCCTGCTCAGCTCCTACTTCAATGTCATCAGCACCAAAGATTCTGACAAAATGTTGCCAGGTACTTAAAATTCTCTTTCTGTGTATAGCCAAAAATGTCTCCATTTTGACATGGCTGAGAGGCTTGGTGCTTAGCTCATGCCTATGTGCAGTCTAGACACAGGTGTTCTTCTCCTTTGTCTCCCTGATGAGTCAGGCTTTTTCAGAGTATCCCTACCAATCAAATGGGTTCTGCACCAAATGCAGTGGTGGCTGCCCCCTTTTTTTGCAATGTGACTGAAGGTGCTGCCATCCTCTCCTACTTCCTTCTGTTCAACGTTGTTGGGACATTCATCCAGGATATAGGAAACTCCTGTACAATTCCTTCCTCTGCTTGAGGAGATTCGTACCCTCATCTACCACTTTTTGGGTTGCTCATCAGACTACAAGTCTAAAGGACATTTATGCATATCAACAGGAGACTCATGTAAAATACATGAGCATCCTTCTAGCAGGGAGATAAATCCAGGACTTCTTCCCAGGTAAATGACCTAACCACTAGGTTACAGTGTTGTGCTCTCTCTTGTGTTCTCTCAATGGCCCAATGAATCTTTATTTTTCTACACTGCTGAACAGGTTCAAAAGGAGGGAGAGCGTGCCCCACCCAGAAAACCCTACAGCCGGGTAGCTGAAGCACACCTTTAAGAGGTAGAAGATATGGATTTGAATCTCTTGCAGAGGGGAGAATTAAATGCTGATCTCTTGTATCTTGGGTAACTGCTCAAGCTGTCTTTTAGTGCACCTCTCACACATGCACACTTGAAAGAAAGAGCATAGCTATCCTCTTCTGAATGAGGGCTCCAAGCTCTGAAATTTGAGTAGCGATACGTGCTTAAAGCCTGGAGGAGGAGGAGGACACTTTAGATATACCCCTGATATGCTCTGCTAATGGCTAGCCCTTAGCAACTCACAGCTGTTCAGGGAAGAGATTGATTCTTCCCATGATTTGAATAAGGGGCTTAGGCATATAATTAAGGATTCCAGATGCAAACATGCAAGTCTGCCTCGAAGTGGCCAAGTCTCTCCTTAGATTTATGTTGACAGCCTGGAATTCCAGGTACAGCGTTTAAAAAAAATTTTAAAAGTTTCAGTAACGTTTATGTAATATATTTGTCCCTTTGGTAATTTGTAGCCTACTAAATTCACACTAGCATGAATATCTTTCAGGGGATCTGCGTAAACACCTTATAATGTCATTAGAAACAAAACAGTTTTCATTGCTACATTTGCTATGTTTCATGATTTAATATACAACTGTATATATATGTATGCTGTTTGTATGGAGGTGGTAACCAAGTGAAATAGTACCGCTAGGGGACTAATGAATTCATTATTTCTTTCCAACTTGATAGCAAGGGACCATAACTTTCTCTAAGCATGAACACATGAAGTAAATCAACACAGTTTGATATTGATTGTACTACCTCTGTAAAATCAAGTTAATGTCCTGCATTGTCCTAGTTAGGGAAATGTTTTCTACATAGATTTTTTTTTCCCCAAGCTGAGTTTTATTTCATTTAATTGTTTAATTAAACAAGTCTGCTTTGCAATGTAGATTGTTTATCAGCCAGTGATTCCATATCTGACTGAGGCTAAATCTGAGTAAAATCACACAACAGTCAGCTTCAACAAGCTACAACAAAGGTAGATGCTACAGTTTCCTTTTCCACTTGGGCCAGGAAGCAGCATTCTAACAATGTGATCATTTGAGACTCTGTCATGGAAGCTGCTCTTTCCATATTCTTAGTTTGAGTCACTGAATTTGATTGCGAGTCCATAAGCCCCAGTTCTGCCAAGATGGCTGTAGTAAGAATGAACCAGGGAGTTACTATCACTTGAAGTATTGCTTGGGAGTGGTCAGGCTTTATGTAAACGCAAAAATATGTTATCCTAGATCTGGCCGCAGGGTCATGTAAGATGCTGTACAGATTTGCAGCCAGTTAAGGAGTTCTATTCTTGCACTGAGCTGCCCACCTAGCATATAACTGTCTTGCTCAATTGTATTGGCTATTCTTTTAATAGTTTAGCTCATGAAAGAGCACATACAGCTCAGTGAGGAATACCATGCTGGCTGTGTATACAGGAGAGGCATGTTCAGGAAACAAACTTTCTTGTTTCCTCCACTGAACTGCCAAACACTTTAATTTCCTGGCAACAGTTACAGTGCAGTTAGGTATCAAAAGCAGCATTTGTATGGCCATAACTTCTGTGATCAAAAAATGACAAATCTTTATGTGCTTTAAATAATGTAGATTGGTACCTGCTTTTCCACTGCTTTTATAATCCTTTAAACTTCATGGAGAGGGTGTGCATGTGCGTGCAGTTTGTATATAAAGGATAGTTCACACCTTTACACCAGTGAAAACCTACATGTATAAAGCAGTATAAACTTGGCACACTGCTTGGCACAGTTCGGAGCTATACACCTCCACAACATCCGCATTTTTCTGACTCAGGATAAGTAGTATCTCTATGAATAGTTTCAGAGGAGATGCCAAAGGAATAAAGTACTGCTCAGTGAAAGGTTGGCAGAGCATGGCCCCTCAAATTCTACAGATTTGCATCTGGGATAGTGGAATTTCCAAGGTTTTAAATAAGCTCAAACCTTTTTTTTTATTTTTTAAGTAAAACTTGGCTTTTTTATTTCTTACAGCTATTAATACTATATAACAATACATCTGTACTTCTGTTTTTCTGGAGTTACTTGTCAAACTGCCAGAGTTAATCATTCTGAATTATGTTGCATATATTATTTTCTGAAGCAGTAAATCTGCTTGTCACAAGCTGTGTAGAAATAAAAAGAAATACAATTTTCTGTTTTTCTTCTAACATAAAAGCAAATTCACTATTTCTACAGTTGCATGTCTTTACTTATCTGTAGAAATTGCCATTTGCAATAACATTTAGCAGTGTTTGTGTCACGGTATCTTGTTTGGAAAATTCATATCCAGTGTGCTACAGAACATAAGGTGATCTTAAGATGGTATGCCAAACTGTAGCATAATTTATTTTTTGGTGATTAATAAAGTAAGCTGGATTATAGCCAGCATACTTGAGGTAAAATGTTCAGTCCCCTTTATACGAGCAGTTATGAGTCATTTTTAACAAAATCACAGACAAATATCATAGGCCTGCTATAATGCCCTCTTATACCAGAGGGGTCACAATTCCTGACTATTAAACAATGAGGGCCTGGACAGTGACTTACCAATAAGTGATGGAGAAAATGTTAGGGTAGTAACTGGCTCGAATAGAGCAAATAATTATCTCCGAATGGGAGTAAGCAGATGACACTTGTTTACACTAAAGTAAATCTGGTTCTCCCGGTGTACAGTGTCATCTGTCCAAGATCTGTTGTTACAAGATGAATATCTGTATAGTATTTTGGATATGTAAAGAAAGCACTATGCCCCCAACCAGCAAGGCTAGAAAGTATGTGCATAATTTTAAACTGAATAATTCTACTGAAACCAGCTATACCTCTCATTTACTTAAATTATGCAAAGTCTTAAGAGCTTTGTTGAATCCTAATCTATGCGTGAACACCACCAAACAACCCTCAGTTTACAATTTCCTCAATACTTGACCGGCAATCCTTGGATTGTGATTCACATTTTGGGAATGAAACATAAAAGCAGATGCAATTAGTAGACTCTTACATAATCTGTGCTTTAGCTCTACTGAAGAGTTGAAGTTATAATCTTCTGTACGTGTACTTGTAGTGAAACATTGCTGCTATAAAGCCAATATTTCTTTGAAGAGAATCCAAATTTATTGCTGCTAATGGATATAACCCTTCAAAGACCCGGCTTAAGATGTTCTATGAACTTTGGATTTAAAATACTTGCAAATCAAGGGACTCTCCACCTAATGACTTAGATATTATGGGATACACAAGAATGGATTAAAAAAATATATCTAAGCATACAAATCTTCTTAAGCATAACATGCTTGCCAACAGAAAAATGGGCTATGGAGAAGGAAGATTGTTAAATAAAGATGTTGAACAGTCAGACACATCAGCACTTCAATGACGCAATAATTTTTTTAGGAACTTTTGTTCTTTTTGCATCTTCTCTTTCTCTTGTTCCTCACTTAAAACTTTGCAATATTATAAAACACAATGATGTAACAGTGTATGTTTCACCTGTAGGCAATTGGAAACTTCCTATTCGGCTTGTTATATACAGCCTGTTACAACCTATTACTTTTTAAAGCTACAAACACCACAGGAGTACATATATTAAAAATTATGGAAGACATACTTATCAGTTTGCCCATACTCAAAGATATGCACATAATCAAAATAAAATGGAGCAGGTTATAGCTTTCCTTTTTTCATATGAAGGTACAGGCTGAAGGCTGGTTAGACATATAAAGCTTTATTGTAATCTTGCTTTCTAACTGAAGGTTGAGCATTGCATGTGAAGATACATAACCAATGTAGGCTTTGGCATTTAGAAAGGTCAGACTTCAGTTTTACTGAAGAACTGAGCCATATCACACGGAGCCACTCTGGCCATTGGAGGCCTAGGAGTCCGGAATGGCAGTAGACAGTCCTAAGCATCTACTTCAAGATAAACTGGAGTCTCTTATAAGGACAGAGAACTAGAAGGATGTTCCTGGGTCACTGATTCCTACCCCTTGCTACTACAAACAGCCACATCATAGAATGCTGTTAATATACATAGCAAGTGCCACCTTTGTATTACATAAAACTTTTGCCTTACTAGTCCTATAGGAAGGCTGTTCTGAAAGTTCATAGTTCTTTTAATTTCCAACCTAAACCCAGTTCATACGCAATTATCCTTATGGTAATGTTCACCTTCAGCTTCATCTCCTTCCCTAGTCGCTTATGGAACATAATCATAGCACCTCTTAGCCTTTGCTTTTCTATATTTAAACAAGCATGTTTTTCCATCTCTTGTAAGATAGCTGCTCCATTCTGCTGATCAGCTTGCAACTTTTCCAGTTTGACTCACTCCACTGACTCTGGTAGGCCTCAAATTAGGAAGATCGACTGTCTCTTTTGTAACAGTTTCCATATTCTTAAGGGAAAAAAAAAAGAGTAAAAAAATCTTACCATCTGGTTCCAGTCAACAGCAATTCTGTGTGTGTAGCTGAAGAGGAACACACATAGAAAGAGGATGGACAGGAAACAAGCAGTCACAGACACAAACATCACCCATCCCTGCAGTAGCGGCAGAGGAACCCTGGTGGCAGCTACCAAAATCCACACTAGCGCTCCAAATAGCTGTGGGGGAAGAACACAACAAAGGTTGAACTAAATGTTCTCCAGCCTTTCTTGACTGAGACCTAACAGCTCAGCTCAAATGGAAAAAAATCCTTGTGGACGTAACTTCAGGAATTTGGGCAATTTAGAAAATTTTACCTTTTCAAGCTGAACGGCTCAAAATGACCTAGACATTGAGGAGATAGTCTCAGTAGGCACATCTACACATACACTTTAAATGTGCAGTAGCCTATTTTACTGTATTAAAAAGTGTCATGTAAAAAACCATGCGATTACACTAATGCACAGCAAAATAGGCTACTGTGCATCAAGCATCACTTAAATACTGCACATTAAGGCAGACTAATATGCCTTTGTTTCGTACCTCACACTGGAGGTACTAAATTTGATGCACATCAGGAACAGTACACATGTAGATGCACCCACTGAAAGTGAACGGGACCTAAGCGTTTAAATGGCTCTTGAAAATAGAAGCTTCTAAGTCGCTGAAGTATTTTTTGCCCAAAGTCTTATTTTGAAGGGAATAAAGGGACTATTAAAAACACTGTTAGAAAGCATTTATGCTGGAGGAAGGAATCAAAAGGTTTGTTGACACCAGCGTGTGCGCCAAGGGCACAAGTAGGATTGAATCTAAATTTTATGCCATGCAGCCATAGGCAGTTATAGTAATGAAATAAAAATAGATCCTGGTTTTGTTTTGTTTTGATTTTTAACTGAGTTTATTCTTATTTTCGTTTAGGCACATGACATTTGGACAAAAGGATAAAAGGCAATAAATGAAAAGTAAAATATTTTAAGGTTAGAAAAGCGATGGCGGACTGGATCTGGAAGGCTAAGTAAAAGGAAGAGATAGGCTAAGTTCTTTGCACTTAAGCTTATGTAACAAAGAGCAGAATTTAGCCCTCCCAAATGTCATTGTAGCATACTGATTGATCACAATGAATATGTCTTCAACTATAACAAAAGATACCCATTAAAATCACCATTGCCACTGGAAAGTGTTCCTATGTCTTTAGATCAACACGGCTACAACCTATATCCTCTTTAAGATGGAAAGCTTAATTTAACTTAATAGTTAAGACCTTATTTAAGACAATGGGCAGTAATGACAGTGATCAAATTCAGGCTGAGTGGCCATTTCCAGTGTATACCTCTCAAGGCATGAAGCTGGAAGCAATTTTCCTTTTTTTTCCAGATAGCAAGAACTTCAATGGAAAGCCTGCTTAGTTTCTTTTTGAATCTGGGCCTGGCTCAATTTCCAGGAACAGGTAAATCATTTGTGGTATTAAAACACAGCATATATGAATCCAATGCATCTGATGTCAAGATGCACTGGCAGCCTGAATTCACAATTCCACAGGTTAGTCTGTCAGCCTTCAAGCTATTTTCAACAGTTTCTTTTCATGATGCATCTGCTGTGAGAAAACCTACTTTCTTCTACAGTAACACAGCACTGGAGTCTCAAATCCTTTCTGCAGAAAACGGGTATTTCATGGGTAATAGCCACACAGTCTTTCCACTGCATCCCACCACTGAGATTGGCATCACGGTTACTAATTTTAGTATCTACTTTGACAATGATTTCCCTGATAATGCACCTGTCCAGTGGAACTAAAGCAAGGCACAGCACTCGCATTACACTGGTTGGCAAAACCATCAAGGAGTTAACTAACTCAGGGTCATTTCTGACTTGCCTGAGAATGGAGGACTGCACACATACAGAAGCCACAGGGTGGAAGTCGGGTGTGTACAGGGCTCCTCTGGTGGTTAGACCAGTCGACTCAAATCTGCAGCTGTAAGTAAGACTCTAGTCTTGTAACCTACATTTCCCCAGGCTCTCATGCTCAATTAGTAATCACAGCTGCGAAGCTGAAAACCCTTCTGCTCCCACTTAATTCTAAGGACCTGACCTGTCCCAGTGAGCTCAGTGAGGACACTTGGGTAAAGTTGGGCATGCAGATAGAAGGCTGAGGAAATGTAAGCACATGTGTGTATTTGTATGTAGAAACATGTATGTGTGTGTATACTTCGTATGCAGAAGGGTGCCTGTACTTTGTATGCAGAAGTGTGTGCACGTGTACCACATAGATAGAAGGGCACGCATACTTTGTATGTAGAAGGGTGCGTGCACTTCATGTGTAGGTGCCTGCATTTTGTATGTAGAAGTGTGTGTGTGTGTGTGTGTGTGTGTACCATATAGGTAGAACAGTGTGTTCTTAGTACAGAAGGGTGCGTGCACTTTGTATGTAGGTGCCTGCAGTTTGTATGTAGAAGTGTGTGCATGTGTACCATATAGGTAGAACAGTGTGTTCTATGTACAGAAGGGTACATGTACTCTGTATGTAGTTGCCTGTACTTTGTATGTAGAAGGGTGTGTGTGTGTGTGTGTGTGTGTGTGTGTGTGTGAGAACCACATAGGTAGAAGGTTGTGCATACTTTGTGTACAGAAGGGTGCGTGCACTCTGCATGTAGGTGTCTGCAGTCTGTAGGTGTGCGTGTGTGTGTCTGTGTGTGAACCACATAGGTTGATGGGCACGCATACTTTGTACACAGAAGGGTGCGTGTACTTTGTATGTAGGTGCCTGTATCTTGTAAGTAGGAGTGTGTGTATGACATAGGTAGAAGGGCATGCATACTTTGTACACAGAAGGGTGCGTGTACTCGGTATGTAGATGTGCGTATTTTGTATGTAGGTGTGCGTGCGTGTGTGTGTGTGTGAACCACATAGGTAGAAGGGCACGCATACATTGTACACAGAAGGGTGTGTGCCCTTTGTATGTAGAAGTGTGTGCATGTGAACTATGTAGGCAGAAGGGTGTGCGTAATTTATACACAGAAGAGTGTGTGTACTTTGTATGTCGGTGCCTGTATTTTGTATGTAGAAGCGTGTGTGTGTACCACATAGGTAGAAGGGTGTGCATACTTTGTGTACAGAAGGGTTTGTGTACTTTGTATGTCGGTGCCTGTATTTTGTATGTAGAAGTGTGCGTGTGTGAACCACGTGGGTAGAAGGGTGCGCATACTTGTACACAGCAGGGTGCGTGCACTCCACATGTAGCTGCCTGCACTCTGTATGTAGGGCATGCGCGCACGCGTGTGTGTGTGTGTGTGTGTGTGTGTGTGAACCACGCAGGTAGAGGGGCGCGT